CAAATCGGGCACTTTTTAAAACCACAAATTGTAACTCATCAGTGTATATGATTTGTAATATTTGATGTACTGCAAACAACTAAGGCCATCTATACTCTACAAAATTAATTTGACCTAACTTATGTTGCCATACAGTCACTGCAATTACATCACTTGTGCATATCTATATTTGGTTCTTGTGTTAAGAGTGTGCATCTTCATCAGGAGCGCTTGTATCGATTGTACAATCAGTGTGAGGTATTGCTGGATGACTCCTGAAAGCCAGTAACAGTAGATGTAAACAATGCGATGTCTACACAAACACAGCACCAATTTAACAATATCAACCTTGACATTACGTCGCTCATACAGGTGGAGTTCGTTAAATCAGCATAGAAGGACAGTTACATTGCTGGGGATGGAAATTTAAGTATAGATAATTCCATAGTTAGTTCTTTGTAAGAGGCCTGCCATTGACCTATCCCTGTAATACAGACCAGACCTAAGTCCATTTTCCAGTGGCAAGACAGACCTGAATGACCAAAAACTCAGTCTGTGACTCCCAGTGCTTCAGGACTTCACATTTGTTACTGGGTTTATCTTTCTCTCAGTATATGCACAGCCACTGAATAGCATAGTCATTAGCTAGGAGAAGAGTAAGTAGCCCACTATCCAAGTTAGTCAGTGATGAAATGTAGCATAGTCATTAGCTAGGAGAAGAGTAAGTAGCCCACTGTCCAAGTTAGTCAGTGATGAATCTCTGTCACATGTCATATGACTGATGAGGGGCTGAAATCTAATTGTAGATCATTCAACCAATTTGGGTTCTCTGTCCTGAAGCTGGAACTCACTGTTTTGAGTACTCAAGATAGCAGAACATCTTCTTCAGAGGCAATACTATTTTGATAACTAGGTATTTCTTAAGTACTCAATGCCATGGAGAGTCAGAAGGGCAGTACTTTGAACCAATAGTGATTCGGTCCTATTGTGAATCACAGGAATTTCCTGGACGCTGGGTGGGGAAACGGGGAAATACCTGTTTTGTAAATTAAGAGCTACAAATCAATCCTGTGCTTGGAGGATGGAATAATGGAGGCAAACCTAACAATCCTGAGTCTGAAGCAGCGTAAGTATTTATTTAGTATCTTCAAGTCTTGATAAGGCAAAGACTCCCTTTCTTCTTCAGAATGAAGAAATAGCAGAAGAACAAACCTCTTCCCCTGTTCTCCTGTGGAACTGCTTCTACAGTTCCCAAACAAAACAAGATCATTTCGGACTGCAAAGAAGATAACTGAATTGTGCAGTCATGGGCAAAGATATCCAAAATTCATTTGTTGGGGATGTGATCCTATCACAAAGAGGAACAAGTATTTGTTGTGTCCATCTATAAGAGTCATTAAGCTATTACAAACAGGAAGAGTTTAGCTCCAGGGGTAACCTGCCTGTCCTAACTGCTTTCATTTTTTGTTTCTGAGAACCCCGAACAAAGAGCCTCTTTCAAAAAAAGAAAAGTATATAAAATGGAGACGTGTAGGACTCATTGTAACAAAGTTCTGAAAATGAAAAGCTGATCAAACAGTCCAGGTTCCATCTTACAGCCACAGACAGAGCAGAAACTGGGGGAGTGATGTGGCCACTGTATCATTTATGCCCTCACTTGGAAGCAAGAGGCAGCACGGGGTACATGACTAAGCCCATCAGACACTCTTATTCAAAACATTCAAAGCTTGCACACATGAGAAGTATGCATACCACAGAGAAAGCCAAACTGATAAATACTGAAATAATATTAATTTCTCTATTTTTCTAGTGAGAAACTGAATTCATGAGTGCATTTCCTGGATTTAGTTAGCATTCAAACAGCAACTACCTTCCATACATGGCTATGTTGAAGTATGCTCAGTTCACAAAAGGAGTTTTTTTTATCTGATTAGAAGTACTAAGCCGATGTCTAATGCCAAGATTTTAATTTTTATTTAAGAGTCGCAGATTCTTCAGGAAGGCCCACATAGCATCTAAGACACCCAAGTAAAACTTATGTGAAAGTGGGTATTTTCAAGAAAGTCAGTGGTAAATTGGTAAATACACTAAAAAATGTGTATGTTTGCTCAAGAGATTTAGGGCTGCCAGTCAAATTAGTTAGCCTGGCTTAATATTTCTAAAGATTAAAACAATTTTCAGAAATGCTATTGTGGTTATGAGTACAGGATTTCATTTATTTGAGAATATACAGTAGAATTAATATTTATAAAAAAGGCAAAAATATCGAGATTTACTCTCAGTATCTATTTCTAATGGGAGTCTTACCATTCATAGAAATAAAAATACAACAGATTACATCTTTACTCCTTTTTCGTCAGAGGGATGTGTGATGGACTGTAAATCTATGTTTAGCAGTTCTTTAAGACTATGATAAATTTTGTACAAACAATGCCTTGTAATTCTATTTGAAAAAATAATAATTTGCTGATCATTACTGTCCTGATAAAATGTGTGTGACAATACTGCATGCAAAGCTATAAGATTCTACTGTATGCTATTACTAAAAATACTACAAATCTGAAGAAGCAGCCAAAAACCAGTTCTTCAAAGCCAAAAGGCAAACTGATGCCTCAGCCAGGTGTCGATGAAATCCAATAGACTATTGTTAAGTGGCCATTCTTTGGGAGGAAAAAGCATGAGGATGAGAAATGTAAATCTTGCCAAAGAAATAACGGGAAGTTCCCATCCTAAAACACTTTTTGTCTCTTAAATCTCAGCTGAAGATGGTTCTCAAAAAAGAGGAAAAAGTATAAGAATGGGGACCAAATGCCTCAAGTTATTTCTCTCTCTGCCTACAGCAGTCACCACACCCAAAGAACAAAAACTGCTTTGGACTGATTGAAAGGAATTCAACCAGTGAAACTGCTGGAGCATGTGCACAGAGACTTTTGCTTTTCATCTTTATAAAAGGGAAGAAGGATAATCCAGGGAACTGCTGACAGGTCAGGTTCACCTCTCTCCTCGGAACAATCATGAAGGGATACTCAAAGAATCCATTTTGAAGCACTTGGAAGAGAGAAAAGTGATCAGGAATAATCAACATGGATTCACTAAGGGCAAGGTATGCCTCACCAACCTGACTGCCTTCTATGAAAAGGTAATTGGCACTGTGGACATGAGGAAGGCGGTGGATATGATATACCTTGATGTTAGCAAAGCTTTTGATATGGTCTCCCACAGTACTCTTGCCTGCAAGTTAAGGAAGCATGGATTGGATAAATGGACTGTAAGGTGGACAGAAACCTGGCTTGATTGTCAGGCTCAATGGATAGTGATCAACGGCTCAATGTCTGGTTGGCAGACAGTATCAAGTGGAGTGCCTCAAAGGTTTTGTTCAAAATCTTTGTTACTGACCTGGATGAGGGCATGGATTGCACCCAAGTTCACAGATGACACTAAGCTATGGGGAGAGGATACAGTGGAGGGTAGGAAGAGGGTCCAAAGTAACCTAGACAAATCAGAAGATTTGGCCAAAAGAAATCTGATGAGATTCAACAAGGACAGTGCAGGGTCCTGCACTTGGGACAGAAAAATCCTAAGCACTGTTATAGGCTGGGGACGACTGGCTGAGCAGCAGTTTGGCAGAAAAGGTCCTGAGGATTATAGTGGATGAGAAGCTGGATATGAGTCAACAGTGTGACCTTCTAGACAAGAAGGCCAATGGCATATTAAGGTGCATTAGGAGGAGCATTGCCAGCAGAGAAGTGATATTCTCCTTTATTTGGCACTGGTGCGGCCATGTCTGGAGTATTGTGTCCAATTCTGGGGTCCCCATTACAGAAATGATGTTGATGCACTGGAGAAAGTCCAGTGGTGGGCAACAAAAATGATTAGGGGGCTGCTGATGAGGAGAGGCTGAGGGATTTGGGATAGTTCAGTCTACAGAAAAGCAGAATGAGGGGAATTTTATAGCAGCCATAACTACCTGAAGAACAGTTCCGAAGAGGATGGAGAGAGGCTGTTCTCAGTGGTGACAGATGTCAGAATGAGGAACAATGGTCTCAAGCTGCAGTGGGGGAGGTCTAGGGAAAACGGTTTTACTAGGAGATTGGTGAAGCACTGGAATGGGTTACCTAGGGAGGTGGCACAATCTCCATCCCTAGAGGTTTTCAAATCCCAGCTTGGCAAAGCGTTGGTTGGGATGTTTTAGTTAGGGTTGGTCCTGCTTTGGGCAGGGGCTTGGACTCAATAACCTCCTCTTCCAACCCTACGACTCCATGCTTTGAATTCACGCAGCTTATAAAATTAGGTATTAGTTCGTTTTCCCCCCATTGTAACCAATTTTGATATTTATGCCTCACTACTTGTAAACACTTCAAATTTATCTTTCTATAGTTAGTAAACTTAAGCACTTGGGAAATTTTATTAGGGATAAGAAGATTTGTGCATACAAATTTCTATACTTATAATTGATTTTCTGAAAACTTGTGTTCTCCAAGAAAGGGCTGGCTGTACAAGATGCACATTTCTGGGGTGAAGTCTGGGACTGAATTTATTGGTGTTGCTCTGCAGTGTAATCAAGAGTGGCTGGCTAGAGCACTCATGAAGTACAGCTGGGAGTAACTTACATGCAGCAGGCTGTGTGTGAGCAGACCAGAAGTAGTTGCTCTCACAGTGCAGCAGTGTAAAAGGCATCTCCGGCTGGAAAAAATGAGAAGGGACACAGCTTTTCAACAGTACAGACAGAACTCTGGGAAATGTCACAGAGACACACTGGGTTCATTTCAGAGAAACAATGGACTGGATCAGTGACCCACCCCTGTCAAAAAGGGGTCAACATATAAAAATAAGGTGCCAGAGTCAAATGATTGCTCACAACCAAAATATCAAGGTCACTTTTTTAAAAAGCACATTTTATAAAAATTACAAATCAATCAAGATATACACCTACCAAAACTGAGCAACATTATGTCAATTAAGACTCAAATTCAAATGTAACAATTTAACAGAATTAATAGTTTACAGAGGATATTTCTTACCTCGCTACCCCTGGTGACAGTTCAGGTACTACAACTCTTCGACTCCAGGCTACAAGGTCCCGCTCAGTGGCTATTTCACTTCGTGGTGCATTGCTATGCATTTGCCGCACGCCCTCAATTTGTCCACTGCGCCTTAATCCTATATTTGGTGGTGAATGTACTTCTGAGGTAGAACTTACAGAGCCTAAGAAATGTAAATAGTTTTGTAGTCATCTACATTCTAAGGGAAGGCTTTCAAAAACACACAACAAGAGTAGAAATAAAGCATTAATTGAAAATGTTCAAGTGCATCTGTATGTCCGGATTATCCAGAGGAACATTTCTCTTGCACAAGAGTACAGTATTCATAAGCAATAAGCAGAAAAAGTGTAAAGAACTGAATATATAAGACAAGCTGATAAAACATCACTGTAGTTTCTGTAAATCCACATAGTATATATTAACTGTTGGTCTGTAAAACCAGCTTCCAGGAAACAGTTGCACTTTAAGTGTAAGACTCTACATGGAGCATGTCACAGGCCATTATCAGTACCAGGATGAATGACTGGGACCACAGACGAAGGACATGGCCAAGGAAATCTGATTCCTTCCCTGACAGATTATATACAGTACAAGCTGTGTTATCCAGAACTTTAATATCCGGAAAAAACTGTTAACCGGCACATGTCATAGATGGCAATATAATTCCTCCTTCAATTAATCAGAAAAATTCTGATAGCCATCTGGTATAATTTTTCAACATTTTCCAGAGCTTGTGGAAATCAAGCTTGTAAACATATGGCAGTAAAGTTTGTTCATGTTGTGCTTCTGCATATAATACCATTTTCAGATATTATCTAACCCATCCTGCAACTATGGGTCGATAGTTGATGGTGAACAATTCTTGAACCATTGATGTAAATCTTGAGTAACTGCCACATTTCATTAACTGGCATCACCCATTCCCCATGAATGCCAGATGACAATGCTTGTATTGCTTCTTTCCACTGAACACTCTCAAACTCAGACACATACTCCACCCGTTTACCTAAGCACTTTACCACCACAGACTGTGACTCTATAACCTTTTATGGGTGGCACCCCCAAGGACACTTATTTGCTGACACTGGAAAAACTCACCCACCTTAATATGGGACAATACTGGTTATGTATACTATATATCTCATTAACTATGTAAACCGATACTTGTAATAACCCGTAACCTAAATTTAATTCCAGATGTACAGTGCCTTCCTTTTTTAACTTATATCTTATAAACTTTATTTGAAACATTAACTATAACAAAGTTTTTCAATTTGTTGATATCTTAAACCAACTGAAAGCAATGCCCCTCTGCAATATACATTGGACAAACTGGACAGTCCCTAAAGGAAAAAATTAATGGCCACAAATCAGATATCCGTAGAGGGAACATACAAAAACCTGTTGGGGAACACTTCAATCTACCAGGGCATTCACTGACAGATCTTCAAGTGGCTGTTTTGTTATGGACCAATTCCACAAATCAAAAACACAATTCATTCACAAGTTTGATACTCATGTTAATGGATTAAATAAAGATACCGGATGGCTGGGACATTATCAACCACCAATCAATGAAGATGCCAATGATTCTTTGTCTGTATAGTATCTGGTGTTAGTATTCTTCTTTTCTATTGCCTACTAATGGTTCTTATCTGCCTCTTTTGACTATACAGTCTTTAGATGTTTACAGACTATTTGTTTTTCCTGTTACATTCCAGCTCAGCTTTCCCATATCAAAGGCTAATATGGTCTTAGGATGCATTAGGCGAGGTATTTACAGTAAGGATAAGGAGGTGTTAGTGCCATTATACAAGGCACTGGTGAGACCTCATTTGGAATACTGTGTGCAGTTCTGGTCTCCCATGTTTAAGAAGGTTGAATTCAAACTGAAACAGGTACAAAGAAGGGCCACTAGGATGATCCAAGGAATGGAAAACCTATCTTATGAAAGGAGGCTCAAGGAACTTGGCTTGTTTATCTTAACCAAAAGGCTGAGGGGAGATATGCTCTCTTTAAATATATTAGAGGAATACATGGCAGGTAGGGAGAGGAATTATTTAAGCTCAATACCAATGTGGACACAAGAACAGATGGATATAAGCTGGCTATTAGGAAGTTTAGACTCAAAATTAGGCGACGGTTTCTAACCATCAGAGGAGCGAAGTTCTGGAACAGCTTTCCAAGGGAAGTAGTGGGGGCAAAAGACCTATCTGGCTTCAAGATAAAGCTAGATGGGTTTATGAAGGGGATGGTTAGATGAGGTAACATGATCTTGGCAATTAATTGACCTTTCACTATCAGTGGTAAATAGGCCAATGGTGGGAAGATAGGAGTTGCTATAGAGAACTTTTTTCTGGGTGTCTGGTTGGTGAGTCTTGTCCACATGCTCAGGGTTTAGCTGATCACCATATTTGGGGTCGGGAAAGAATTTTCCTCCAAGGTAGATTGGCAGAGGCCCTGGAGGTTTTTCACCTTCCCCTGTAGCATGGGGCACGGGTCACTTGTGGGAGGATTCTCTGCATCTTGGGGTCTTTGAACCGTTTCAAAGACTTCAATATCTGAGATATAGGTGAGAGGATTATTCTAGCAGTGGGTGGGTGAGATTCTGTGTCCTGCATTGTGCAGGGGGGGTCAGACTAGATGATCAAAATGGTCCCTTCTGACCTTAAAGTCTAAGTCTGTAAGTCCCCTTGATTTTTTTTATACCCACTGCCTCTTCTTGCTCCCCCCACCCATTTCTTTCCTCCCACTCCCTCCCTCCCTTTCTCCCCTACTTATTTTAGTTCTGGACATCCAACACTCTGTCGGCGCTCTGTACCCCCGCGTCCCGCGGGGCTGGCCCAGGGGTCCGTTGCCGGCTCTCGGGTCTCCGCAATGGGTCTGCTGCCCCAGGGGCCCATAAGCCCCTCGCCTTGATCATCCTGAGTGCAGGGCGGGAGCGCCCCCTCACAGGGTGGTTCAACCATTAGTGCCCTGATCTTTCTCACTATCCTGGTGGAAGTAACAGCTACAAATATGGCAACTTTCATGGAGAGCTACAAGAAGGAACAGGTGGCCATAGTTTCAAAGGGTGGACGGATAAAAGTCTTGAGAATGTGGTTGAAGTCCCATGTTGGCGTGATTTGTGTGATTGAAGGATAAATGTTTCGGATGCTCTTTAAGAAGCACTTGGTAGTTGAGTTCGCAACAACACAGAAGCCATCAATATGGACCTCAAATATAATTGCTGACAGGTGACCCCTCAGAGAGGTAACAGCTAAGCCCATGTGTTTTAATTTATTTGGTAGTCCAGGATAAGAGGTAGTGGTGCCTCCTGGGGATCAATTGTTTGCATGTACACCGTAAAGGGAACCTTTCTTCTTTTAGGAGGTGGGGAGAGCTTGTTGTAGATCACTTGCTGTTTAGAAGGATGCATTTTACTGCTTCTTAACAGGTTCTCTCCCCATTTTGGAACCAAGGAACCACGACTGGAGATGAAATTTCCAGGCAACTCTTATTACATTTAAAAGGCAGAGGCACAGCAGGGGACTGGGTATGAGCCAGGACTCCCCCACCCTACCCCAGCTCCAGCTCCCCTCCCTTGCCACCTCTGATAGAGGCAGTGGAGGTGGGGGGCAGAAGCGATTAGTGGAGTAGTGACTTAACTACCTGATAAACTTAGGCTTATCACGTAGTGGACTACTCAACTAGTTGCTTACATCCCTAATGACTACAAGGAAGCAGGCATCTTGAAGGTTGAGGACTGCGAACCAGTCCCCCTGGTCTAGCATTAGAATCATGGTAGCAAGAGTCACCATTCTGAACGTCAGTTTTTGTATGAGTTTATTCAACTTACAAAAGTCTTTTGCCTCAGTCCCCCATTTTAATTCTGGGTGAGGAAGTAATTGGAATAAAAGCCCTTCCCTAAGTAGGGGCATGGACCAGCTCCACAGCATCTACATGTAGAAGATGATTAACTTCCTGTAGAAAGCACTTGCGTGAGGGTCCCTGAAGGGGACAGAGAATGGAATAAACTAGGAGGGATGGAGAGGAAGATATGGAGTATTCTGTTTGTATCATTTCCACTACTCACTGAACCCTTGTTATGGGTTCCTATAGGTAGTAATACAGTAATTACTCATTTAACACATGCCCGCTTAGCACATTTCTGCAATAGCATGATTTTTTTTTTATGGAATTTTTTTTTTAATAACACAACCGTTCCCGAAATAACATGAAAATAATCAAGTGGCAGACTACTTGGCGCGGAGTTATAAGTTGGTGAAAACAGTGGTAATACGCATGAGCGGATGAATACATGTAGTCACAGCACTCCTCCACTCACTCACTTGTTTACCCTTGTTTTTTAACAAACCGCGGCGTCTTGTGTTGCTAGTTATCTAATATTGACAATGACGACTTAGCACCAACAAAAAAATGACTTTGCCACCACCACCTGAAACACAACCCCCACCTTTTCCATTATTTTTAATAGGAAAATTGACCCCACATAGCACGTTTTCGCTTAGCACAAACATTTTCAGAAACGCATCTATAGTGTTAAATGAGGAATTACTGTATGGGCATAAACAGTGGACAAAGGTGTGATGGGACTGCGCTAGAGCTTTGCATTGGGGGAGATTGTGCAGATTATACAAAGTCTCAAAACTGTTGTTTAGGGACTGGTTAGTGAAAGACTGGTTTTGAGGTAATCTCCTCTGCTGCAATCTCTGTTTTGATCTACTGGAGTCGTAATTTGTGTTGTGATTGAATGTGGTCTCCCGGATTCTTTGATATGTCACTAAGTGCCTATGCTTGGCTAGCAGTGTGTACATGCCAAGCATGCAGAAGGTAGTGTGAGTGTCTTTATTCTGTGAAGGACCTTGTTGGTTTTGATGGAAAAGAGCTTGCTCATATCAAGGGGCAAGTCCTCTACCATGATTTGCAGTTCTTTGGGAATTTCTGAAGATTAAAGCCAAGATGCTCCTCACATACTTATTGCCATTGGGGTGGCACAAGAGGCAGAGTCTCCTATATCTAATACAAACTGAAATGACGTGAGCTATGGTCTATCCTTCTTGTATAATCAACTTCAGCATAGATCACTTCTGTTCAGGAAAGTTTTTCGGAAGTTCTTCCAATTTGGCATAGCTGGAAAAATCATAGCTCGCCCAAAGGGCAGAGTAATTGGCTACTCTAAGCTGAAATGTGGAGGAGTATATTTTTCCGCCATGGTCTCTGTCATGTGGGGTTATTTACCAAGGTTATTTGTCCTTTACCAAGGTTATTTAATATGGTGGTGGAATGCATCAACCAGTGAATTGTGCTGAGGATGGGAGAATTGCAAGTCCACGTCCTTTACTGGGACGAAATATTTTCTATAGGCTCGCTTGTTCATGCTATAGAGACTGGTATCTACCACAGGTCATCCAATGCTTCCATAACTGTTTCATCAATAGAGAATGTGATCTTGGATGCTACCACATATTTTTAAAATGATAATAGTTAGTGGTATTTCTCTTGTACTTCTTGGCATGTTATCTCCTGATTTGCAGCCATCTTGAATAAGTCCTGGAATTGTTTAAGGTCGTCTGCGGGCGAGGGTGCTGTGGAGATGAAGAGCTGTAAAGCAGGGAGATGCCTCAGAGATGTCATCCCTGTCTTGAACATCCTCCTCTGAATCTCTGTAGGAGGAATGCTCAGAGCTGATGGGGGAGATGTTAGTGATCACCTCACTGGAGTCGGGGAGGCTGTATATTGTCCTCTATAATTTGCCCACAAATCCCATGGGGTCTGGCTGGGGGTGAGGTGTCTTTGTCTATACCACAGATGAATTTGTGAGATTTGGTGAGGCTTTATGTGCTTGACTGCCATGGAGATCTATGAGTGGGAGATGAGTGGTGGGATGTGAACCTGCTCCCATGCTCCTCTACTTCAGGGTCACTGTTGGATGAGAGAGTAGGTGACATTGGCGGGCAATCTGAAGCCTGATCCAGTGACTGGTCAGTGCTGAAGAGTGGAAAATGTGGTAGATATGACAACACAGTCTCCCAGGTCCAGGAACTGCAGCAATGTAGGCTTTGGTGCTGCTAGAGCAGTGCTGTAATCAATTCTCTTCGGTACTGCAAGTACTGCAGTGCTGGGTCTGACACTTGTGGTATCGGGTGATGACTCTGGACTGGTGAGGGTGGTATCAGAACCAGCACTGTTGACAGTGCCAAGACCCGTGCCATAGAAAGGGTGGAGTGTCTACACTGAGATGGTGCCCACAGAGGCCTGTGTTGGCGTAGTACTGGAGGTGCCAAGGGCATCCCCTTTGCTGCGTCTTAGGGTTGGCACTGCAACTAATGATTTTACTGGGGATATTCTCTGTTTCTGACCATTCCTGGCTGAAGTGGAGTGTTAGACCACTTCCTAGAGACCTTGAAAGCTTGGGTTTTGTCCTGTGTTGGGGACTGTGGAGTCTCCTGGTGAGCTCATTGAGGTGGCTGAAGGAATTTCTCCATAAGGATCATCTTGAGGTAAAATTCCCTGTTGTGCCTAGCTCTGGAAGTGAGATTAGCACAATGAGGGTACTCTTGGTGAGTCTCACCAAAGCAGAGAAGACAGAAGGAATGGCTGTTGGTGACTAGCATGGGCTCGCAACAAGTGTCACACTTCTTGAAGCCTGGGAATTCTAGCATCATAATGGCAAAATTTTTCTTTTCTTCTACGTCTCCCTCTTTAGTAATCATCTTCTCTTTTTGGGGGGAGAGGGAGAAGAGGGTTTGACCGTCAAGAAGCCAATGTAGAACAAAAGCAACTATATACAGTAAAACTCCAACAGTACGGAACCCAATTGTCCGGCACTTCCGATAGTCCGGCATCAAAATGGCAAGCGCTCCTTATGGAACCAGGATGGAACCCAGAACCACTCAGGTCAGCTGTTTTCATGTGGGTTACAGCAGGGAGGGGAGGTGTTTGGCTCTGGGGAAGGAGAGGGGAGGGGGATTGGGTTACACACGGCGTCCTGGCCAGCTCACTGAAAAGCCGGCCACTCAGCGCACATGCCCCAGCGCCTGGAGGGAGACGTGCAGCTGTACCAGGACCCAAGCATAAGGTTGGGGGGGGGAAAGAAGAGATCCGGTTACAGCAGGGAGGAGAGGTGATTGGATTACAGCAGGGAGGAGAGGTGTTTGGCTCTGGGGAAGGAGAAGGGGAGGGAGATTGGATTACGCACAGTGTCTGGGCCAGCTCATTGAAAAGCTGGTCACTCAGCGCACGTGCCCCAGTGCCTGGCAGGAGACATGCGGGTGTATCGGCAGCTCCAGCACTGGAGCATAAAGTTGGGAGGGAGGGAGATTGGGTTGAGAGTATGCAGTACCTCCTGATACTCCAGCATATCCGATAATCCAGCACCACCTAGGTCCCAAAGATGCCAGATTATTGGAAGTCTACTGTACACAAATAAAAACTAAATAGGGTAGGCCAAACTGGGAGAAAAAAGAAGAAAAAAATGATTTTGGTTTTTGTTTAAATGAGGGAAGATAACAAATGTAAGTTTCTAAGATACCTATATGTTTTTGTCTTTTAATGGTGTGAAAAGAAGAATAATGTGGAATGCTGTCTGTAACTGAAGATGGCAGAAATGGAAATGGGGAGGGTTAGGTCATGCATGTGATAACGTTGGATTTTGAATGCTGCAAGACACCTAGTGCGTGTGTGCAGCCCTAATGCAAGAAAAATCTATCATCTGTGGTGCCGGAACAACCCAACACCTACAGTGGAGCACCCAAAGGGACAACACTTGAAGTATAGATGTTCAGAATCAGGCTAGAGTGCCTGCGAGGAGGGAGGATCCCGAAGCTTGGGTTCCAGCCTGAGCACAAAGGTCTACACTACAATTAAACAATCGCTTAGCCTGAGCCCTGTGAGCCCAAGTCAGCTGGCATGGGTAGCCGTGTGTGACTAACTACAGTGCAGATATACCCCCACTGAAAACTGTATGAAAATAAACAAAAATAAGTTTCTTTACTTCGTCCCATCCGGCTAGTATTGCTGGTTCCTGCCTCCCCAGAACGTCTCTGATCTTGTTCTTGCTGTAGTCTCTGTATCATGCTATCCAATGGACTAACTTCCTGATTTGCTTGTTGACTCAGTACTTGGTTCAGTCCTGTAAGGAGAGAGAAGAGCAAGAAACAACTACATTTTGGACAAGATTAAACCAAGTATTCCAAACTAAGTTGCACCTATAAAATTTGCTAATTACTACATGTCTGGCAAATTGTTAACATACACCATATAGTTTTAAAAATATAGCATACTTTTTGTTAGAATTAGAGCTACAAATAAGATTGCCAATTCCATGGGGCCAGAACCATATACTTAAACTTCTATGAGTGCCACCACCAGTAATGCAAAATAAAGAGAAGTTAACTCACTCCATGAAGTAAGGATTGTACTTCGAGATGTGTCCCCCCGTGGGTGCTTCACTGTTAGTGTCAGGCTCATCCCGGCACCATGGATCGGAGACTTTTAAACAGTCATCAGGTGGGCGGAGCATGTGCAAGCCGAAAGCGGCATTCCCACCTTTGAAGTAGCATGCGCAGCCCACTTTTTCCATTTTTCCTCTGATGCCTTTGTGTGCTGCCATTATTGCCTGAAGAAGTGGGAAGGAGGACTGATGCCTTTGTGTGCTGCCATTATTGCCCGAAGAAGTGGGAAGGAGGACGGGTCATGGAACACCCACGGGGACACACATCTCAAAGTACAATCTTTACTTCATGAAGTGAGTAACTTCTCTTTCTTCTTCGAGTGATGTTCCCATGAGTTCCCTGTTGTTAACTGCATAGATCAATGGTGGGCTTTGATTAAATTGCTACAAAGAGGCCACAGTGGCTACTGTGGTATCTGCTGTTGAGCTTGGTGGAATAGCATAGTGCTTCATGAATGTGTAATTTGAAGACCACATTGCTGCTCTGCGTATTTCCTGGAGCGAGACCCTCCCCTCTCCCCCCCCCCCCCCCCCCC